CATCAAATAATTTTGGAAAATTAGCATGTATATTAGGATTGATATCTATAATTGATTATTTAACATTGGTTAAAATATATTTAGATATCAAACAATTAATGTACACAAAATTCCGATTTTAGCCTTACTAACTTATCAAGTGTTTTTGTTTTTACTTAAAAAAAATAGAAAGTTCAACAAAAAAACGCTTATTCTTCTTCTTCATTAATAATTAACTATGTTTTTTATAATAATTAACTATGTCGATCTTAATTTTTTCATAAATAGTTAACTACGTTCAGAACGTAGTTAACATATTTGTTTAAAAAGTAACTATTACAGTAGTCAACTATGTCATAAAATCAATAGAGTATATACCTATACTGTAAAAATAGTTAACTATATTTGTTTAAATATCTGATTGTGTCAAAATATTTTCTTGTAGTCAACTATGTATTGAAATCAATAGAATAGATAAATATGCTCTGAAAATAGTTAACTAGATTTTTTAAATTTACAAATAGTATTCGTAGTTAACTATGTTATTATAGTTAACTATTACAATATATTTATTTTTTGTTTAATTTTGTCATCTTTTGATTTTTTTTTTTAAATGCAGAACACACATCTACTTTTTGCAGAAATACAATCGCATGAGCAATTTTTCGAGTGATTTAATTCAAGAGAAAATTGTTAGAGATTTTTTTAAGGGATTTTTACCTATTTTCCTTAAAAAATTATTGTCATATCATAGTTTTTTACTATTTTTCCTAAACAATTTCGTAACGGCAAATTTGTCCAGATTTTCCTTCTCTCTCCTAGATACCTAAATTTTATTATGCACATGGTAGTTACCTAAATACCTACTCCAAAACTAATATTAAGCTAATTAACCCAATAATTTTCTCATTTAGTATTTGTTTGATATAATAATTTATTTAAAAGTTGAATCATCTCATAATCTATATGTTAAAAAAATAAGATTTTCTTACACATATGTTACAATTTGAAATTTTAAAAATGGAAATAATTTACTAAAACTATTTATATAATGTTATAATAAAACGTAATATATCATATAATATGTCATTTTATTATATAACATGGTATACCATACTAATATATAA